TGGGCAAGTGAACACGATAATTTTGTTTGTTTACAAACTACTGGACAACGAATGTTTTCTCATCGGAGAAAACCAAATTCGGCAGTTCACCACTTTCGGCCAAGCGAAGCAACTCTTTAGCTCTTTGGAGTCTATTTTCTTTCTGTTGCTGTGTAAGTTCTTGCACTTTTTGGAATTACAATGGATTTACCCCGAGCTCTTTTTTCAATAGTTGCCGAATGGAATATTGCGATATATTCAGCTCACGAGTCATTTTTCGGACACCGCTTCTTACTTTTCAAACCATTTCTGCATATGTTGCTGTTTTTGCCCGTCACTTTCCTTGACGTCAGGCTGCGCTACCAGTATCACGGTAACGAGCGATGGTACGAGACACAAAAGATTTACTCACATTTAAATGCTGAAGTGCTCTACCGATAGCCAACCAACTATTGCCAACCAAATACAAATAAATCACACTATCACGCTTGAATTCCATCAATAATAATAACTTTTTTCTGGAAAATTCTCACCCAAACCCTTCTGTACGCTTTTAAAAGATATAATGAGCTGTTACTGGAATAATTTTAACAGCTGTCGGAGGAGTGGCATTTTTTCAGAAATCCCTTACCCAAAGAATGTAAAAGAACTCCAAGCATTTTTGGGAGTTGTAAATTTTTGTAAAAGATTTGTACCAGAGGTATCAACATTGCTACTCCCCTTGCACCAGTTGTTGAAAGTGTATTCCAAATTTAAATGGAATTATCTTTGTTCACTTGCGGTTGACAAATTAAAAAAAGCACTTTCTTAGTGAAAAATGTTTGGCTCACTTCAATGCCAATTTTAGAACGAAATTAACTGTGGATGCAAGTCCAGTTGGAGTAGGAGCTGTGCTGTCACAGATAAGAGAAAATGGTACAGAAGGGCCTATTGAATTTGCGTCTAGGACATTAAATGATTGTGAAAAGAGGTATTTGCTGTTGGATCGAGAGGCGGTAGCAATTTTATTTGGTGTTACAAAATTCCACCAGCTTTTGTATGGACGTCATTTCACTTTGGTGACTAATAACAAACCTCTTCATTATATTTTGGGCCCTAAGAAGGGAATTCCATTGATGCCTTCTAGCCGATTGCAGCGTATTGCACTAACGTTATGGGGTTATCAGTTTGATGTGTCGCATATTAAATCAAAGTATAACGATGCTGATTATTTTTCTAGATACCCAATAGAATCTGATTTTGCGCCAAAACATTTCCCAAATAATGTTTATTTAAATTTTTGCAATTAATGCACAGAGAAAGTCAATTGTTGAATTTTGAAAGTATTCGCAATGAAACAGAGAAGGATAAAATTCTCTTGACGGTTAAAGTTTTGCTATCTAGTGGCTGGCCGGAAAAATGTCTTGATCAGGAATTACCATGGCGATAATTTTTTGAAAAGACACGAATTGTCGGAAGAGTCAGGTTGCATATTTTGGGGGATTGAGTTATTATACCAACAGTGATTAGGAAAGATATATTAAATTTTTTGCATGCGTCCCATATGAGAATAGTAGAGATGAAAGCCATGGCTCGAGAATGTTGTTGGTGGCACGGTCAGAATAAGGATTTGGAAATCTTGTGAACCATGTCTTGTGACACGACCAACTCCACCTCAGCAGGAACTGATGAAGTGTGGTCGAGAATTCATATTGATTTTTTTGGTCCGTTTATGAAGCGTTGGTGTCTGGTGGTAGTGGACAGTTGCAGCAAGTGGTTGGAATGTATTGATATGGGTACAAATACAACGAATACAGCCGTAATAGCAGTTTTGAGGGGACTGTTTGCACGTTTTGGCTTGCCAAAATATATCGGAATTCAACAGAGAGTTATATCGTTTTTTCCTTGATTATCTAAACACCACACGGGTGTTTCTCCCTCTTATTTCATATTTAATAAAAGAATGTTGAGAACTGGACTAGATCTTCTCAATCCAAAGAGAATTGTCACAGATAAAAGTTTTAAACAAATTTAGGAATTTGCTAAAAACAAACAAGAGAATCAAAAGAAATACTATAAGGGTAGTAAAAAGTCTTTTTTAAAATCAATGAAAATTTGGTTGTAAAAGATTATTCCATTCCGGGAAAAGTTTTATGGTCAAAAGGTTTCATACGTGATATAATTGGAATCAATGAAAATTTGGTTGTAAAAGATTATTCCATTCCGGGAAAAGTTTTATGGTCAAAAGGTTTCATACGTGATATAATTGGAAAACAGACTTATATTATTGAAATGAAAAATGTTAAAAAATAGAAACGTCATTCAAACCAATTTATACATTGTATGAAACCTAATGACTTTCCAAGTACAATTTTAGACCCTTTACAAAATATTTCTCCCGTTATCCAAGAAAATTGTAATGAAAATCTAATAGAAGAAAACACAAATATTGTTAATGAAAATAAGGAATCAGAAAATTTACCTGATAATAAAAAAGAAATTGTAAAGTATAATTTAAGAGAAAGAAAGCCAAGAAAATAATATGATATACTATTAATTTTTGTCACAATACAAAATTTTTATAAAAAGAAATAATTGCATTGAATAATTAAAATTTGTTTGTTGTGGTGTCCCACATTATTATATTACTATACTACGCCTTTGTTAACAATGTAAAACTATTTATATGAAAACATATGTATTTAAATAACAAAAACAAAATAACTAATTAATAACATAGAATTATTCTCATATAAGCACACACGCTCTCTGGTACTCTCCTCATTCAGCTATACCAAAAACATTACCAACAACGACAATAGACGATGCCTTTACAAAAAGATGATTGCTGTTTGGTGGACACCTGCAACTTTGTTCTAAGAAGAACAAATCACTCATCATTGTGAAGCGTAGCTGCCAAATTGCACTTTAAAATAAAAATAAAATCTGATTGTTTTAATAATAAACTCGCTTTTCATTTTGAGTTTATTACACTATTATATATTTATATCCTATAAAAGATGAGGGAATGATCCATACTCATTTGTCGAAATCGACTCTCCTGGGGCTTTTACAGTCTTGCGTCTTCTAAATGGTAATCTTGACGACTTACCAAAAATACAAGGCTCACCAAAAAGCATACGCTCTAATTTGCAGACAAGGAGCAAAAATCAACTATGTATAACGTTCCATTCGGCTCCGGTGTCGTTTCTCCATTTACATCTAGCTTACACCTTTGTATTGTAGAATAAAACTTACTTGAGATGTTTCTGTCATGTGAAGCCAACACAGAAAAAATATCTGCCGATAAACCAGGAACATATATCACAAAGTTTCGCAACTTGTATAGAGTGTGGTGTTTTGAATTGCTCGTAATCATTTTTTTCCATCTGTTATCCATTTTCTTCGATGTCTAATCCAATGGCCAATTTTCTTTCAGCGGTGAAAAGCTTCGCTTTTCTTTCATTTTCAAGATTCTTCTTATTATTTAACTTCTTTTCATTTAGAACTAAAGCTTCCTATTTCTTCACATGTGTGCCATAAGTTTTCTTGAACATTTCTTTCAAATAAACTAAGCTGCGTAAGATATGAACATTTCAAATGATTTTGGCAACACGAGTAATATCATATCACTCTGATTGGAATTATGATTAGTTTTTTCCTTCCGCTGAACGAATACGGTTGAACAAAGCTGGGAAATATTGCTTCATTACTTTGAAAATTACAGTGATGTCGGCCAGCTTCGCATGTAAAGAAGCAAATTTGCATTTGACGCACAGAAAACCTACACGCATAAATTGCAAATCCGATTCGCTCAAAACGAGTCACAGTTTAGTGACCATTTTTCATCGATTTTTAGCTCAAGGTCAAAATGATCAAAATACTGGATAGATATGTTTTGTGGCGGAAATCAATCGGCGAAGCTCATTTTCAATCATTGGCCATTATCAGAAATAAAATTCGAGGCAAGATGTCTTTTACATAACACACAGTTCTTAATTTATATGCAATAATAGCTAGGTTATACTTATGGAGATGTAGATTTATGCTTTGTTCCAGAATTGCAAGAATGTAAAAGTTTCTACTACTATAAGCGAATACCCTTACCCTTTATGATATCGAAAAATACTGCAAAACTAGAGCAATAGTAAATACCATCCAAAGCCGATCATACCAATTATTCTTGCCAATTAAAGTAAAGAAACATTTTTCAATACTTAAGATTTAAATTCTGAATATCGCTAAATCTTTTATGCAGAATAGTATCGCGAGAAAAGAGAATACTCTGTAAATAGTAGGAAGTATGAGTTTTGTAGTCTTCTTTTTGACTTAAGCCAAGAAGTCTTAACCCAATGAAATCTTGTCTTCATTTTCTTAGCTATACTTTTATACTGAGATAAGAAGACAGAACTAAAAATCTGTACCAAAACTGCAGGCAAAGTATATGATGTTGTTAATCGTCAATGCATCCCACAATTACCAGACCTCCGAAAAACCCGATCGAATTCGAGTAAAGAGTAGAACTTGCAGAAGCACACATGGAAGTTGAAAAGCAAAACGAGCAAACTCCTTTTTTCGCTTTAGTTCAAATAAGGGCGAGCATGATTTTCCCGTTTTAGACTGGGAGAAAAATTTATTCGAAAATGAGCAGATGTTACTCTTGCCGAGCAATCTTTTGGTTTTTTGTCATATTGCTGTTGTATTTCTATGTATGTGTATTTTCTCAAACTACTTGTAGAGAAAAAAATCGTAGTAAATTTTGTATATTGGTTGTGAAAATCCCGAAATTAGTCATTTTCGGGTATTCAAACTGTAATTGCAAAAATTTAAGAAAGAGTTTGTAACATAATGCGCGAAAAACATTTTGTCTTTCAAGTGTAAACGTAATAAATTGAAAATCATCGGTATATTTGATTAATATCTGCAACAACATAATAAGCTGTCATTATTTTACATTTTGATATGCCACAATTAAGTTTTTGATAAATCTTTTCACTTGTTGGTGATGCTATATATTCAGTAAATTAAAAATGCAGACGAAATAATAAACAAGTTTTTGGTTTTTATTAGATTGTGCATTGAACGTGCACATACAGTTGTAATTTGTAAAATTCGTTTCAGCTACCATCCCATTTGTCACCAGCAAAAAGTTTTTTCTGAGAGAATTTTCGAAAATAAGTTCTTGCCAATATACCTAAAATAAAAGAGATAAAGTAAACATGTATAAAATGTATGGTTTAATGTATTTTTTAAAAATATTTAATGTATTACTTGTTAACAAGATTTTTAATTAAGAGAAATATCCATACCCAGAAAAATGCTTCGTTGCATCAATGAACCGGTTCCATTAATTTTTCTTCATTGATGCAATGAAAAGCTACGTTAACATAACAAATGTTTTGTTCATGCAATGAAAACTTATGTTGCTTTTAAAATCAATCCGCCCCATTACGGTTGTCGTCGTCGTCGCAAAATGAAGTCGAGGCGACAATAATTATATCAGGGCTGTCGTTTTTTGTCGATAGCGGCAAATGAAGCTTTTATAATTGTCGATACAACAATCGACGTGAAGTCGATTTTTAAGAATCTGTCGCCGTAAAAATTGTGGCGACATTGTATTTTTTAGTCGACGTTGATATTGTAACCATTTTGTATTTGATATTTGACCATGAAAATAACAACAGCAAAACAATTTGAAATCCAGCCAGAGACTCTGATGGCTTTCAAAAAGTATGTTAAAATTAAAATTATTTTTGTATGTTTTTATTAGTTAGTTTTCTAAAATTCTTGAAAATTTTTCTAAAAAATTGAAAACTAAAAAAATGTGCAGAATAAGGGTAAAGCCAGCAGACTTTACAGCTTTAGGAGGAGTCTGTCGCGAATGTAATGCAGTTTCAAAAGTTACTGAAGTTATAGTTCATGAAAATGAGTAAATGGACAATGCCGATGACAAAACTGATGTAACTACAATGGTAAAAAATCATCAAGGAAAGAATAAACTATTTAACTCTTGAAAGCGCAGTATAAACTTTTGGAAAAGCTCAATCAAGAGTCAGGCAATGCAAATATGTTTGTTTGCTGCATTAGCACACGCCGCTGCACTACTAATACATTCTCCTCTTCATCCTCATTTGAACTTAAGATATGTAACGCATTTATGATATTCATCTTTTCACTTTATTTCCGAAAGAGACGAAATTGAATTCAAAATGCAAACACATTTTTATCTTTTTTTGTCAATAACAAGGAGTGTTGTCAACGTTTTTTTAATTTTTACCAACTTTTATTTTAAACTGTCGATGTCGCTTCTATGCATTACCGTAATACCATTTTTGAAACGAAGCGACGGCGAGGGCGACTTGCACATAAAGTCGACGACTATAGAAGCGACAACCATAATTGGGCCGAATGACTTTTGGTTTCTTTTTTTTTTTGAGTTTTGCCTTGCTAAGGCAAAGGTCATATGTTTATGATTTATGTGTTTGTTTCTCTTTCGAGGCGAGCTTAATTATCTGAAATTTGCAGTGAAAAGGAAAGCCAGATAGACATTATCACACACTCACCACTATGCGACGCGTTTCGCCGTTGGTTAAGCGGCTCATCAGGCATATTTGGTGTGAATGATGGCTTACAAGGGCCGTTCTCTGGAAAGTAGTATATATTTCGAACTTATTGCGAATTAGCATATGAGAATTAAACACTAGAAACTCTTCAAGTTCGACTCAAGTTCTATTAGCAGATCTTTTTCACAGCAAAGTTTGTTTCTTTAAATATATTAAACGGATTTCATTAATGTTACGAAACTACTTATTTTTAAAAATTCAGTAAAAAAATGTGAATATAGAAATGGTACATAATAGCGCTGTCTTATACAAACAAATACACAATTAGAGGGGAAATTGTGATAATTGTTATATTTAAATTTGTACTCCAATTTAATGAAATGAAATGAAATTTCATGAAATGAATGAAACTTTACGTTATGGAGTTCGTTCTTAGGCCAAACAAATGATACAGTATTTTTTGCTTACCTGCACAATCAAAAATTGCACGATATCTTGTGCAGCAATGCCCAAAATGCAGGTAGCTTCATTGCATTTATCTGCACAATGAAGCAGGTATCTTTAATTTTACTTACGTGCACAAAAAGTTCAGGTATCTTTAATTTTCTATTCGTGCACAACAAAGCAGCAATCTTTATTTTACTTACGTACGTGTAATAGCCAGCCAAAATCAAAGGGGAATCTTTTAAAGTTTATAATACATTTATTAAGTGGTTTAATTATATTAAACACAACAATTTAACACAAATAAATAATTCATAATTCTCATGAATTGTCTAGGCAAGCAATGCTCACCATTAGCGTCATCGGAACTTCAAACAAAAGAGTGTTCTCTTTTAGGTCATCAAAAGTAGTTAAGCAATGGATAGACAAACTCAGAGAGACAAATTCACAACATATGTATTTGAGCATCAGTGGTGTTTTATCCAGCATAACCATCTTTTAGTGTGGGAGAGGAAGCGAGAATATGTTTTTAATGCATGCTCTTTTCTTGTGTTGTTATTGTTTTTGCGAATACAAAAACAAAAACGAAGTGGTAGTTTTTAGTGTCTTCTTTGAGTTTGCAAAAAAATTTCTTGTGCAGATAAATACAACTTTTGTAACCAAATTAAAACAAAATTACCAAATTTTCGAGGCAGGAATGTCCAATGTGCAGCTATCGATTGGGCACTTAAATACAATTCAAATAAAGGGATTCAGAAAAAATGGCATAAAAAAAGTTTTTTGGTCTGCAAAGGCCAATGCGCAGCTAATGTTGATGCAGGTAAATAGAAACCACTGTACATGGGAAATTTCATCTCAATTGGACAATAAAGGCAACCTGCATTTTGTCAATAAAAATACATGGGCAGACGGTCAGAAACGTGATTTTATAAAGATCATCCAAAGAAGTAGGCTTTATCTCGTGTATTTCTACCTCTTACAAACAAATGCACAACGACAAATTACCCTCTACCACAGAGTGGTGTAGGTATTAATAATTAAAAAACAGCAAAGTTCGGCCGGACCGAACTTTTAATACCCTCCAACTTTTTGAAGGATCTTGAACAAATTGTAAAAAATCCATCGAAAAATACCGCTTAAACGAAACCCGTTATATTGAGGCTACGAAGACGTGAAACTACATACGAAAATTTTTGCCATAGGTTGTAGTACACATTAACATCTTCCAATACGACCTTTGAAACCATTCCGGTGAATAATGTCGGTAAAATCATGAAAATACCGAATATTGGGAGGTACCGTTATATGGGGGTTATACGAAGATGTGGACCTTCATACCCATTTTTTGACATAGGCTGTGGTACCAATTCTTAATTTCAATTAGAAATTGAAAACAATTCCATTAAAAAATATGCCTAAAATTATGAAAATACTAAAAAGCCTACGTGTCAACCAAACAACAACAACTACAACCGTTATTTGCAAGCAAACACACGTCTTTACACTTTCATCTCATTAAACTCTTCATCAGAATCGAAAATACGACAAAAAAGTTACGTTGATAGTTTTCCATATTCCTTCACCAACTCTAAACATTCCTCATTCGTTGTTGCAAAAAATAACGATCTTACTATGCCAGCATATGAAAAGGGAAAATATTTTTTTTTTTTTAATCTTCATATGCACACATTTTTTCATATAATTTGATTTTACATAGCAACCGAAAACACACTTTAGCTCTCCCAAATATAAACAACTACCATTAAAATTTGTTATTCTCTTTTGTCCTCGCACGTGCAATAAAAAGGACATCATAATTTCCAAAAACAAAAAAATACCGCAGCAGCCGAAAAAACTCTAAGCATTCCTGTTGTAGGTGAGAACAAAAGAGAATAATATATTTGAATGGTGGTTGATGACACAAACATCAGCAGCCACACACACAAAATGTTGGCCGATATTGTTATTTGCTGTCGAAAAGAAAAAATCAAATTCTTGATTGATCTCATTCTTTAAGTGATTTCTGAAGTGAACGGACGTGTCTTAAGAGTGTTTTGTGTTAAAGATTTATTTTTGTGAAATGGAGAGATTTCTAGTTTTTGCATATGGAATAAGGGTAAGTAAAAATTAAGTGCTTTGTGTTTTAAAAAATTTAAAAGAATACCATTATCTGAAAACGCACGATATGTGTTGTGAAAGTGGGTATCATAATTCATCAACATTTAAAATACATGTTAGAAAAAAACATGCTGATATCCAATCTGCAAATTTCATTGAACGCAGTGCGGAAATTCCAATCAATTTTCAAATCAATTCTGAATATGAAATAGAACCGGTCGATGTGCAGTGTGATAATGAAAACAAAGTAAAAACAGTTACGACCAAGTTACGTTGCAAAATATTTTAAACAATTGCTTGGAATTTCAAACTGCAATGCATTCAAATTTCAATTTAATAAGAAAATACGTTGAAAATATAAACAAAATGATAATGAAAATGAAATGATAAATGATATTATTTGGCCCCATCTTAATGTATTTTGTACTGTTTCCAGCAATATAGATCGCGAACAGTCGCTCAAATTTTTTAAATTTTCCGAGGACTAAAAAAACCTTCAAAAATTTGAAAGCAGAACATAACTTAAAAATGAATCTCAAGAAGGCCGATCTTTTTGAGGAAAAAAATGAGGAGGTTATGGATACATCTCAAAAATTAACACATAACAAAGGTAAGTTGGTAGTTGCTCCAACAACAAAAATAGGATATTAAAACTTGTCCTAAAATTGATAATTATAAATACTTTTTATTTTCTAGATAACAATACATTAAAACTTTTATGGTGCCTTCACGGCTATTTGTACCCCACAAACATTCATGCGCACCAATAATTGCGAGAAAAAGGAATTTGGCCGATACACAATTTAACCCCCACAGGAGGCTAACCAAATTCTAAAGTTTGCGTAATAGTGGATGCACTAATAAAATGTAAGAATTTTGTTTTTAACCTTTATTATATTCCATATTAAATATATTACAATGCTTTGTAAATTTTATTGATTCACTTTGTATTTAATTAGTATTTTTTATTACAAATATCTTAAACGAAATAATTTTAAAACTGTATGATATATTTTAATTAATAATTTATGTGAATTTAAAATTTAAGAAAAGGATACTAGCTGGGCCA